TCTTGGGCGCCCTGACGCCTTCTTCACAACAATTGAACCTCTCTCCTTGAAGTTTTTGATGACCAGATAAATGGTTGATTTAGGTGCAATCTTACTAGCAGCAATATCCTTGCCTGTGAAGCCCTTTTTGTGCAAAGCAATGATTACAGCACTTGTTTCCTTGCAAGTAACCATGGTTAACAGAGGAAGAACAATGATTTCAAGCACCACCCTCCTTTTAAAGCTTCCAGTCTGTTATTCTAACTCAATCAGCATGACAGAGTGATCTCCAGCCTTGTCCTCGTCAACACTCTCACTTGTGTTAACGAGAGAATCACTGACATGATGGCAGCTGGTCCTTTTGTGGCACGGCTGAAATGCAGTGGAAATGTTTTTTGGGGGATTAAGTTCATTGTCATGGCAAAGAGGGACTTTGCAATTAATTGCAATTCATCTGATCACTCTTCATGACATTCTGGAGTATATGTAAATTGCCATCATCAAAACTGAGGCAGCAGACTTTGTGAAAATTAGTATTTGTGTCATTCTCAAAACTTTTGACCACGACTGTATGTGTGTATGTATGTATGTATGTATGTATGCATGCATGTATACTACCGTTCAAAAGTTTGGGGTCACTTAGAAATGTCCTTGTTTTTGAAAGAAAAGCAATTATTTTGTCCATTAAAATAACACAAAATTGATCAGAAATACAGTGTAGACATTGTTAATGTTGTAAATGGCTATTGTAGCTGGAAACGGCTGATTTTTAATGGAATATCTACATAGGCGTACAGAGGCCCATTATCAGCAACCATCAGTCCTGTGTTCCAATGGCACGTTGTGTTTGGTAATCCAAGTTTATAATTTTAAAAGCTAATTGATCATTAGAAAACCATTTTGCAATTATGTTAGCACAGCTGAAAACTGTTGTGCTGATTAAAGAAGCAATAAAACTGGCCTTCTTGAGACTAGTTGAGTATCTGGAGCATCAGCAATTGTGGGTTCGATTACAGGCTCAAAATGGCCAGAAACAAATAACTTTCTTCTGAAACTCATCAGTCTATTCTTGTTCTGAGAAATGAAGGCTATTCCATGCGAGAATTTGCCAAGAAACTGAAGATCTCGTACAACGCTGTGTACTACTCCTTTCAAAGAACAGCACAAACTGGCTCTAACCAAAATAGAAAGAGGAGTGGGAAGTGGACAACTGAGCAAGAAAACAAGGACATTTCTAAGTGACCCCAATCTTTGGAACGGTGTATATACAGTGAGGGAAAAAAGTATTTGATCCCCTGCTGTTTTTGTATGTTTGCCCACTGACAAAGAAATTATCTGTCTATAATTTTAATGGTAGGTTTATTTGAACAGTGAGAGACAGAATAACAACAGAATCCAGAAAAACGCACGTCAAAAATGTTATAAATTGATTAGCATTTTAATGAGGGAAATAAGTATTTGACCCCCTCTCAATCAGAAAGATTTCTGGCTCCCAGGTGTCTTTTATACAGGTAACGAGCTGAGATTAGGAGCACACTCTTAAAGGGAGTGCTCCTAATCTCAGCTTGTTACCTGTATAAAAGACACCTGTCCACAGAAGCAAACAATCAATCAGAGTCCAAACTCTCCACCATGGCCAAGACCAAAGAGCTCTCCAAGGATGTCAGTGACAAGATTGTAGACCTACACAAGGCTGGAATGGGCTACAAGACCATCGCCAAGCAGCTTGGTGAGAACAGTTGGTGCGATTATTCGCAAATGGAGGAAACACAAAATAACTGTCAATCTCCCTCAGCCTGGGGCTCCATGCAAGATCTCACCTCGTGGAGTTGCAATGATCATGAGAACGGTGAGCAATCAGCCCAGAACTACACAGGAGGATCTTGTCAATGATCTCAAGGCAGCTGGGACCATAGTCACCAAGAAAACAATTGGTAACACACTACGCCGTGAAGGACTGAAATCCTGCAGCGCCCGCAAGGTCCCCCTGCTCAAGAAAGCACATGTACATGCCCGTCTGAAGTTTGCCAATGAACATCTGAATGATTCAGAGGAGAACTGCGTGAAAGTGTTGTGGTCAGATGAGACCAAAATCGAGCTCTTTGGCATCAACTCAACTCGCCGTGTTTGGAGGAGGAGGAATGATGCCTATGACCCCAAGAACACCATCCCCACCGTCAAACATGGAGGTGGAAACATTATGCTTTGGGGGTGTTTTTCTGCTAAGGGGACAGGACAACTTCACCGCATCAAAGGGACGATAGACGGTGCCATGTACCGTCAAATCTTGGGTGAGAACCTCCTTCCCTCAGCCAAGGCATTGAAAATGGGTCGTGGATGGGTATTCCAGCATGACAATGACCCAAAACACACGGCCAAGGCAACAAAGGAGTGGCTCAAGAAGAAGCACATTAAGGTCCTGAAGTGGCCTAGCCAGTCTCCAGACCTTAATCCCATAGAAAATATGTGGAGGGAGCTGAAGGTTCGAGTTGCCAAACGTCAGGCTCGAAACCTTAATGACTTGGAGATCTGCAAAGAGGAGTGGGACAAAATCCCTCCTGAGATTTGTGCAAACCTGGTGGCCAACTACAAGAAACGTCTGACCTCTGATTGCCAACAAGGGTTTTGCCACCAAGTACTAAGTCATGTTTTACAGAGGGGTCAAATACTTATTTCCCTCATTAAAATGCAAATTAATTTATAGCATTTTTGACATGCGTTTTTCTGGATTTTTTTGTTGTTATTCTGTCTCTCACTGTTCAAATAAACCTACCATTAAAATGATAGACTGATCATTTCTTTGTCACTGGGCAAACGTACAAAATCAGCAGGGGATCAAATACTTTTTCCCTCACTGTATAGATAGATATATAGATAGATATATACAGTGGGGGAAAAAAAGTATTTAGTCAGCCACCAATTGTGCAAGTTCTCCCACTTAAAAAGATGAGAGGCCTGTAATTTTCATCATAGGTACACGTCAACTATGACAGACAAATTGAGGAAAAGTAATCCAGAAAATCACATTGTAGGATTTTTTATGAATTTATTTGCAAATTATGGTGGAAAATAAGTATATGATCACCTACAAACAAGCAAGATTTCTGGCTCTCACAGACCTGTAACTTCTTCTTTAAGAGGCTCCTCTGTCCTCCACTCGTTACCTGTATTAATGGCACCTGTTTGAACCTGTTATCAGTATAAAAGACACCTGTCCACAACCTCAAACAGTCACACTCCAAACTCCACTATGGCCAAGACCAAAGAGCTGTCAAAGGACACCAGAAACAAAATTGTAGACCTGCACCAGGCTGGGAAGACTGAATCTGCAATAGGTAAGCAGCTTGGTTTGAAGAAATCAACTGTGGGAGCAATTATTAGGAAATGGAAGACATACAAGACCACTGATAATCTCCCTCGATCTGGGGCTCCACGCAAGATCTCACCCCGTGGGGTCAAAATGATCACAAGAACGGTGAGCAAAAATCCCAGAACCACACGGGGGGACCTAGTGAATGACCTGCAGAGAGCTGGGACCAAAGTAACAAAGCCTACCATCAGTAACACACTACACCGCCAGGGACTCAAATCCTGCAGTGCCAGACGTGTCCCCCTGCTTAAGCCAGTACATGTCCAGGCCCGTCTGAAGTTTGCTAGAGTGCATTTGGATGATCCAGAAGAGGATTGGGAGAATGTCATATGGTCAGATGAAACCAAAATATAACTTTTTGGTAAAAACTCAACTCGTCGTGTTTGGAGGACAAATAATGCTGAGTGGCATCCAAAGAACACCATACCTACTGTGAAGCATGGGGGTGGAAACATCATGCTTTGGGGCTGTTTTTCTGCAAAGGGACCAGGACGACTGATCCGTGTAAAGGAAAGAATGAATGGGGCCATGTATCGTGAGATTTTGAGTGAAAACCTCCTTCCATCAGCAAGGGCATTGAAGATGAAACGTGGCTGGGTCTTTCAGCATGACAATGATCCCAAACACACCGCCCGGGCAATGAAGGAGTGGCTTCGTAAGAAGCATTTCAAGGTCCTGGAGTGGCCTAGCCAGTCTCCAGATCTCAACCCCATAGAAAATCTTTGGAGGGAGTTGAAAGTCCGTGTTGCCCAGCGACAGCCCCAAAACATCACTGCTCTAGAGGAGATCTGCATGGAGGAATGGGCCAAAATACCAGCAACAGTGTGTGAAAACCTTGTGAAGACTTACAGAAAACGTTTGACCTGTGTCAATGCCAACAAAGTGTATATAACAAAGTATTGAGAAACTTTTTTGTTTGACCAAATACTTATTTTCCACCATAATTTGCAAATAAATGCATTAAAAATCCTACAATGTGAGTTTCTGGAAAAAAAAATCTCATTTTGTCTGTCATAGTTGACATGTACCTATGATGAAAATTACAGGCCTATCTCATCTTTTTAAGTGGGAGAACATGCACAATTGGTGGCTGACTAAATACTTTTTTTCCCCACTGTATATATAGATTTATATATATATATATATATATATATATATATATATATATATATATATATTTATATATATATATATAGATTTATATATATAGATTTATATATATATATATATATATATATATATATATATACACACATATATTTATAGATGTGTGTATATATATATACATATATTTATAGATGTGTGTATATATATATACACATATATTTATATACACCTAAAGGGGACTTAAAAATCAAAATCAAATAGCTAAATTAGCCTTTTTATGATAATCTTAAAACAATTCCACATGTTAGTTTAATAGAAGCGTTAAGATCTTGGGGAACGATGGTAATGGGTGTATAATCTGGGTAGGGCTATGTGTGATGTATGAGTGGCTGAATGGAATGGTTAGGTGGGAGTAGGTATACGAACTGGATGCTTGGATGAAAGTAAGACATTGGGCTAAGGGTGTGCGAGTGGGTGTATATGAGGGAGGGGTAAGATATTTGGGGCGAGGAGAGGCGTGTGTGTGGAAGGGTACAACACTTGTTCATTGGGTGCGTGTGGATGCGTGTAAGACCTGGGGAGGAGGGGTGTAAGGCATGATGTCCAAATCGCTTGCCAGAGGGGTCTGAATGATGGGCATGGAGGGGGTCTCTGGAGCCTGGTCCTCATCCTCCAGGTCATCCAGATCCTCACCCCCCTCATCCATGTCTGCCAGCTTCAGCTCCAGCTCCTCAATCTTCTTATTCAGCAGAGGAGACGGTTCCTTCTGGGGCACTATCATCTTCCTGGATATGGACCAATCAGAGAAGAGGGTTGATACCAGCTAAACAATAAAATATATCTATCTAACCAAGTCTTTGGCTACAGTCCGATTCTCTTCCCTTGTTCTCCCCGAAGTAAGCAGAGAATCTTCCTTAGCCTGTATATACACCAGTCCAATCCATGAGGGGGAGTGAATTAGTTCAGTGCACACTTTAGGAGGAGAAAGGGGACCAGGCTTTTGCCAGTTCTATGTTAAATGTACAGTATGTGAGTCACTCCCACCTGAAGTAGTAGACCTCGTCATCCACCACCTTAGCGTGGAGGGAGAAGCGCTTCAGACCCTTAAACTTCTTCATCTGCTTTTCGCTCTCGATGTAGCGGCTCTCACATAGCAACACGTCCTCCTCAGACACCTCAGTGGGCCGACACGACAGGTAGTCCTTAAAGGACGACACTACACATTTACCTGCAGGACGGAGGGATGGAGAGAGTGATGGTTAATTACAGGGCCAATTATACTGCTACTGAACCTAGTTTTCCTGGGGGTACTTGATGTCTGAAACGGTTTGCAGAGACTAGTCTAGGAAAGGTTTGATAATGAAAACAACCATAATGAATGCATATTGAGTGTAGAGAGCATGTGGAATGCAGGGTACCTAGGACGCAGGTCATGGGGCAGGTCTCCTCCACGTTGCTTAGGAACACCTCTCTCTTGTAGAACATCCTAGTGGGCTCGTGTCCTGTCTCCTCTGGGTGGATGAAGATGGGTCCGAAGAAAAATGCTGCTCCGTCACGCACCCACAGCTTCTCTATCCTGTTACAGCGCAATCCATTAAAACAGGCCTGTTGTCTTCCTAATGGCCACATTCACAGACATACACCACATCTCCATATTCAAAACACAAAGGCTTTATCTCAATTCATATTTCTGTGATTTCTCACATCTTATCTTATCTCATCGGGTCCCTCCCCTCAGACCTTGTTCTCCAATGCATTTTGATACAGTGGCGAGAGGATTCGAGGAAAGAGCCCCTGACACCATCTATACATTAAAGAGTTCTGTAGAGAAACCAAATACTAGAAGGTGTGATTGACGTACCTGCCGACACGGGGTTTAGTGAGCCCATGTGACTGGACGTAGACACAGTCTCCCACCTTCAGCCACATGTTGTTGTGGTGGAGCTGGTCGTAGTACTGACAGCCTGCCTCCCCTCCACTCATCTCTACCGGGACATCCTCATGCTCCTACACACAGTCACATAGTATGAAAGCACACACTCAGTAACACTGGTACACCTTTTAAACTATTGTGTCAACCCAAACTGTACTGGCTCAGATATTTTCCTTTCACATTGTCCTTTCCAGCACAGCTCCAGCAACTATGGCGGATGCGTAACCAGTGCAGCTTGGCTCTGTTCAGTTCGGCTCAGAAATATGGAACGGGTATGTTAATACATTCCAATGTTTCAGTGTTGTTTACGATGAAATTACAGATAAGAAGTAGGGTTGAATGGTGCGAACCCGGTTACCGAGACCTTGTTTTTTTTATTGCAGCTACTGAATATCGTTGCACATGCGAGCACTCTCTCGCAGTCTTTCTCTCTCAAATAGTGTATCTATATATAGTGTATGTGGACAGCCCTTCAAATTAGTGGATTCAGCTATTTCAGCCACAACCGTTGCGGACAGGTGTATAAAAGCACACAGCAATGCAATCTCCATAGACAAACATTGGCAGTAGAATGACCTTACTGAAGAGCTCAGTGACCTTCAATGTGGCACCGTCATAGGATGCCACCTTTCCAACAAGTCAGTTCGTCAAATTTCTGACCTGCTAGGGCTGCCAAGGTCAACTGTAAGTGCCGCATGGGCTGCACCAGAATCGCATATTCTCTCCCTGCTTTATCATGGTTTGAACGATGTGCGTAATTCCAGTCCATATAATACAGTATCGTAATACAGTTCACAGTAAAATGATTAGCCTAATGGAGCTAGTTTCATTTATTTACCCAAGAGGACATATAGCTAGCTACATCTATGGGCTTTTATGTTTTTCTGTCGTGCATAATGTGTAGTAGTATATGTACTGGATAATGGCACAAACATTTTGGCTTTTTTGGGCTTGGGCTCATGAAATGCCGTTCATGTAGGGCTCATAAAATGCATTTAATATATGACTCATCAGGCTCAGGTAGCATCAGGTTAGAATTTTCATGCTGATCAAAGCTCTAATCAAATCCAGACATATTTATATGCTTTATAATGCTTTTGAATGACACTTCCGGTTTTGGCAGGAAATACCGGGTTACCTGGGAGAAAGCGATTTAATCTTGGGATGGAACATATGTAAAATACCGGGAAAATATTCAACCTTAATAAGATCTTATTTGTGAATGTCCAATAAGCATGACAAATGCATTTCACTCTCTAAAATAAAATAAAATAATTAAGGCTGTCAAAGTTAAAACTGCAATATGTAACTTTTTGTGCGTCCAGACCAAATTCACATAGAAATGGGACTTATAGATCTGTCATTACATTTTACATTTTAGTCATTTAGCAGACGCTCTTATCCAGAGCGACTTACAGTTAGTGAGTGCATACAATTTTTTTTATACGCAAGTCTGATACAGATTATTTTGTGTTTCTTCCCTTACAATCAAAGCATAGTATGCCTGTAACTTAATGCACTGCTATATATATATAAATATATACACAAATACAATGAGGGGGAAAAAGTATTTGATCCCCTGCTGATTTTGTACGTTTGCCACTGACAAAGAGATGATCAGTCTATAATTTTAATGGTAGGTTTATTTGAACAGTGAGAGACAGAATAACAAACAAATCCAGAAAAACACATGTCAAAAATGTTATAAATTGATTTGCATTTTAATGAGGGAAATAAGTATTTGACCCCCTCTCAATCAGAGAGATTTCTGGCTCCCAGGTGTCTTTTATACAGGTAACGAGCTAAGATTAGGAGCACACTCTTAAAGGGAGTGCTCCTAATCTCAGCTTGTTACCTGTATAAAAGACACCTGTCCACAGAAGCAATCAATCAATCAGATTCCAAACTCTCCACCATGGCCAAGACCAAAGAGCTCTCCAAGGATGTCAGGGACAAGATTGTAGACCTACACAAGGCTGGAATGGGCTACAAGACCATCGCCAAGCAGCTTGGTGAGAAGGTGACAACAGTTGGTGCGATTATTCGCAAATGGAAGAAACACAAAAGAACTGTCAATCTCCCTCGGCCTGGGGCTCCATGCAAGATCTCACCTCGTGGAGTTGCAATGATCCTGAGAATGGTGAGGAATCAGCCCAGAACTACACGGGAGGATCTTGTCAATGTTCTCAAGGCAGCTGGGACCATAGTCACCAAGAAAACAATTGGTAACACACTACGCCGTGAAGGACTGAAATCCTGCAGCGCCCGCAAGGTCCCCCTGCTCAAGAAAGCACATATACATGCCCGTCTGAAGTTTGCCAATGAACATCTGAATGATTCAGAGGAGAACTGGGTAAAAGTGTTGTGGTCAGATGAGACCAAAATGGAGCTCTTTGGCATCAACTCAACTCGCCGTGTTTGGAGGAGGAGGAATGCTGCCTATGACCAAGAAAACCATCCCCACTGTCAAACATGGAGGTGGAAACATTATTCTTTGGGGTTGTTTTTCTGCTAAGGGGACAGGACAACTTCACTGCATCAAAGGGACGATGGATGGGGCCATGTACCGTCAAATCTTGGGTGAGAACCTCCTTCCCTCAGCCAGGGCATTCAAAATGGGTCGTGGATGGGTATTCCAGCATGACAATGACCCAAAACACACGGCCAAGGCAACAAAGGAGTGGCTCAAGAAGAAGCACATTAAGGTCCTGGAGTGGCCTAGCCAGTCTCCAGACCTTAATCCCATAGAAAATCTGTGGAGGGAGCTGAAGGTTCGAGTTGCCAAACGTCAGCCTCGAAACCTTAATGACTTGGAGAAGATCTGCAAAGAGGAGTGGGACAAAATCCCTCCTGAGATGTGTGCAAACCTGTTGGCCAACTACAAGAAACGTCTGACCTCTGTGATTGCCAACAAGGGTTTTGTCACCAAGTACTAAGTCATGTTTTGCAGAGGGGTCAAATACTTATTTCCCTCATTAAAATGCAAATCAATTTATATTGATTTGAGCTGTTTTTCTGGATTTTTTTGTTGTTATTCTGTCTCTCACTGTTCAAATAAATCTACCATTAAAATGATAGACTGATCATTTCTTTGTCAGTGGGAAACGTACGAAATCAGCAGGGGATCAAATACTTTTTTCCCTCACTGTATGTATGTATGTATGTATGTATGTATGTATGTATGTGTATATATATATATATATATATATATATATATATATATATATATATATATATATATATATATCTCTCTCTCTCTCTCTCTCTCGGGCCAACATTTTAACAAATTCTAAAACCGCGAGAAACTACAGAAAATCATGCGATTAATCGCGATTAATTGTTTTAATCGTTTGACAGCCCTAAAAATAATATATGCCAATTAGCAGACGCTTTTCTCCAAAGCAACTTAGTCATGCGTACAACATTTGTACTTACGGGTGGTCCCGGGAATCAAACCCACTATAGCACCATGCTATACCAACTGAGCTAATATCCTCCTGTGCTCAGACTTCTCACCTTGTCGACAATGCTGCGGCTGCCGTTATCGGCCACGGCCAGCAGTTTCTCCTGATCACGTTTGGCATACATGGAGGCCACCCGGACGACGGGCAACGGCACATCCCGAAGGACAAACCTCACGCCAGCTGGCACGGCCCACATCTTGATTTTCTTGAAGGCCTTGTTCCTGGCAGAGTAACGGGACTCACAGACGTACACGTCCTCTGGTCTGACTCCCTCAGGCTGAAGCTTGAAGTAATCCTGTAGAGAGGGAGCACACAGTTGGTCAGTGTGTTGGAGGGGATCGGTTTGAGCAAGGCGATGTGCAGAATCGCTAATCAAGACAATCGTTCAAAACAAGAATCTGGGACAGTCCTAGAAAGAGATCCAAAATTCATACAACCACTGCACATAAAAATAATTTAAAAGCAATGAGGATGATGCAACAGATCAGACTGTTTAGCTTAAAATGTTGATACAGTTTTATTTCTTCATATTATAAGCTCAGCAATGCGCACATGGCTGTAGGCTACGTGTGAATGCTCCAAAATGCAATTAGCAGGAAAAATGCCGGTCTCAAAAAGCGCACCACAAGTGCGAGCGGTTTCATGTGACAGAGAATAAAATATTTGTTAGAAATTAAGAAAAAGGGGCGACCTAAAGATGCATCAACTAGTATGAATTACTAATATGACTAGGATTGTGCTCCGCTCAGATTCAAGGTGGCTGATGTGTGGTGCACAACAGGCACTGTCCTTCACTCTCTGGTCTTGTGACCATTTGATCTAAACAAGCAGTGCCTCGAGTATAGCCTATATTCGTGTCACAGGAGGTTGGTGGCACCTTAATTGGGGAGGATGGGCTCGTGTAAATGGCTGGAGTGGAATAGTATCAAATACATCTAACACATGGTTTCTATGTGGTTGATAACATTCCATTCGCTCCGTTCCAGCCATTATTATGAGCTGTCCTTCCCTCAGCAGCCGCCATTGATTTGTGTAATTAATAGTCTCATTAAAAAGTTTGGCTAGATTTTCTGGCAATTCCCTCATGTCAGCATCGGTTTGGACATGAGCCTGTAGTTAATATACATATCCCCTACACTTTGACATTCGGACAACTTAAATCTATGTTCTTGTTGTCCGACTAAAAAAATGTATTGTCCTGGACAAGCGTTAATGTCGAGACCTGAACAGTCATCAAAATTGTTAAAAGGTTTCTAAATGCAAAAGTTGGACAATGGATGAAGACACTCCAAAAAAAATCCATCAGATATTGACTGAATGATAGCACATTCACTGGCACTGACAAATAATGGGGACGTTTCCACTTCACAATACGTTTTCCGGGGCAGCTCTAGCAGGGCAGAAATTTTACAAACTGACATGGTGGCATCCAATGACGGTGCCACATTGAAAGTCATTGAGCTCTTCAATAAGGCCATTCTACTGCCAATGTTTGTCTATGAAGATTGCATGGCTGTGTGCTCAATTTGATACACTTGTCAGCAACGGATGTGGCTGAAATAGCCAAATCCACTGATCTGAAGGGATGTCCACATACTTTTGTATATATAGTGTATCTGTGACCAATAGATGCATATCTGTATTCCCAGTCATGTAAATCCATAGATTAGGGCCTAATGTATTTATTTCAATTGACTGATTTCCTCATATGAACTGTAACTCAGTAAAATCAATTAAATATGCATTTATATTTTCATTCAGTATGTATGTATGTATGTATATATATATATATATATATATATATATATATATATATATATACACATACACACACACACACACACAGTGGGGGAAAAAAGTTATTAGTCAGCCACCAATTGTGCAAGTTCTCCCACTTAAAAAGATGAGAGAGGCCTGTAATTTTCATCATAGGTACACATCAACTATGACAGACAAAATGATAAAGAAAGATCCAGAAAATCACATTGTAGGATTTTTTATGAATTTATTTGCAAATTATGGTGGAAAATAAGTATTTGGTCAATAACAAAAGTTTCTCAATACTTTGTTATATACCCTTTGTTGGCAATGACACAGGTCAAATGTTTTCTGTAAGTCTTCACAAGGTTTTCACACACTGTTGCTGGTATTTTGGCCCATTCCTCCATGCAGATCTCCTCTAGAGCAGTGATGTTTTGGGGCTGTCGCTGGGCAACACGGACATTCAACTCCCTCCAAAGATTTTTTATGGGGTTGAGATCTGGAGACTGGCTAGGCCACTCCAGGACCTTGAAATGCTTCTTACGAAGCCACTCCTTCGTTGCCCGGGCGGTGTGTTTGGGATCATTGTCATGCTGAAAGACCCAGCCACGTTTCATTTTCAATGCCCTTGCTGATGGAAGGAGGTTTTCACTCAAAATCTCACGATACATGGCCCCATTCATTCTTTCCATTACACAGTAGGTATGGTGTTCTTTGGATGCAACTCAGCATTATTTGTCCTCCAAACACGACGAGTTGAGTTTTTACCAAAAAGTTATATTTTGGTTTCATCTGACCATATGACATTCTCCCAATCCTCTTCTGGATCATCCAAATGCACTCTAGCAAACTTCAGACGGGCCTGGACATGTACTGGCTTAAGCAGGGGGACACGTCTGGCACTGCAGGATTTGAGTCCCTGGCGGTGTAGTGTGTTACTGATGGTAGGCTTTGTTACTTTGGTCCCAGCTCTCTGCAGGTCATTCACTAGGTCCCCCCGTGTGGTTCTGGGATTTTTGCTCACCGTTCTTGTGATCATTTTGACCCCACAGGGTGAGATCTTGCGTGGAGCCCCAGATCGAGGGAGATTATCAGTGGTCTTGTATGTCTTCCATTTCCTAATAATTGCTCCCACAGTTGATTTCTTCAAACCAAGCTGCTTACCTTTTGCAGATTCAGTCTTCCCAGCCTGGTGCAGGTCTACAATTTTGTTTCTGGTGTCCTTTGACAGCTCTTTGGTCTTGGCCATAGTGGAGTTTGGAGTGTGACTGTTTGAGGTTGTGGACAGGTGTCTTTTATACTGATAACAAGTTCAAACAGGTGCCATTAATACAGGTTACGAGTGGAGGACAGAGGAGCCTCTTAAAGAAGTAGTTACAGGTCTGTGAGAGCCAGAAATCTTGCTTGTTTGTAGGTGACCAAATACTTATTTTCCACTATAATTTGCAAATAAATTCATAAAAAATCCTACAATGTGATTTTCTGGATCTCATTTTGTCTGTCATAGTTGACGTGTACCTATGATGAAAATTACAGGCCTCTCTCATCTTTTTAAGTGGGAGAACTTGCACAATTGGTGGCTGACTAAATACTTTTTTCCCCCACTGTATATGTGTTAAAAATAATATATACACGTACGTCATTTGTATAAATACACTGGGTTCATTTGCATACATTAAGACATTAACATGAGGGAGCGAAGGCATTAACATTAACATAAAGGGGTGGAACAGGGTTGCAACCACCAAAAACGTGCTCTGTCTAGCTGCCTACCTGCGCTGTCTAGACTGCCTGATACATTACTGTTATCACGTTCTGTTGCATACTTCAACAGCAGGATACAAATAGCATTCAATAGCAGGATACCCTCGGATAAAAAATGTACACGCTTGGCTCTAGATTACACCCATCTTCATACTTAACATTGTTTGCGAGATCAGACATGATATCAGTATAATCTGAATGTTTATTTTTGGAAGCATCTAAATTTGTTTTAAATGATGACTTTTTTCAATTCCACAAAAAAATTAAAAGAAAGTTATTTCTTCTCTTTCTTGTGATGTAAGTCTTGAGACGATAGGCCTACGTTAAATCCCTGACGAAGCTTTAGCGTTCTTATAGATGCGGAAAGAATGTATTCCATTGAGCCCATTTCAGCAATTACTGGGGTGTTTTTGACAGGTCATTACAAACATTTCTGCAGTCGTAACGCATGAATGAGTCACAGGAGTTAAATAAAAGCACCCCTCAAACACAGGAAGTAGATGGCTGAAAAAGACATATCCTCAGGTGGGCAGGGCATGCGTGTTGCTACAATAATAAGCTAAAATAATGACGTAATCTAATCCAATATATGAGCATAGAATTGCATACATCTATGGTCCAGGTGTGTGTATTATCAAAACCGTTCAGATATATAGATGGCCTTACCTTGACAAACATGACCATGCATTTGCCCAGTATCTTGCTGACTGGTACTTTGTTGAAGTAGTCACTCTTGAAGACCTCTTGCTTGAGGAACTTGCGTGTGGCCAGATGGAAGGTCTCACTAGGCCTGTAGAACCAACAGCCATACAGCCACTTCTCACCTACACACACACGCATTACTAACAGGAGGGAGAGGCAGAAAGCAGTAGGAGTGTGTGTGTGTCTCAAAGTGTGCATGTCTAAACCTGCATGTTGAGTTGGTTACCTGCTTCGTCCTCCCACAGGCGCTCGATGCAGACGATGTGAGGCTTGAGGTTGGCCTCGGCTGGCTGCACGTAGACACAGTCACCCACGTGGTAGGTGCTGTTCTCAAAGCTGCAGTCCTGACGGTACGTCCTCTCTGGCCCCGCTGGCCATGCACCTCCCCCAGCTGGGTCCTCAGCCTTCGCTCCCTCCTCTGGAAGTAGATTTGAATATTATAATACATCCATCAACCTCACATTATATACACGATTCAGACTCAGAGTCAATGTCACATCAATCACCTGCACTGACAATCACACACCAGTTCAGAAAAAAACACTTATTCTACACACGCATACCCGGCCACAACTCCATCACACACACCTTTGTTCTCCTCCTCACTCTTCAGTTTGTCCTCCTCCATCTCCTTCGGTAGTTTCTCTCTCTTCTCCTGCTCCACGTCACTCTGCAGGTGTTTGGAGTTGTAGCTGAGCGCTGGGGAGAGGAGGATCTCTCCGTTCTTACACAACTCATCTCGGATCTTTATAAAGAACTGATGCAGCTCCACCGCATCCTCAAAGATCTCAGAGTCTGTCCTGTGAAGGGACAGGGCAAGGCATGCAGGGTCAAAGGTGAGGGTTCATGGGGGGGACTCAAAGGTTGGAGAGCAATTCAAATAAAGGCCTTTCTAATGATGTGTAGACTACGTACCTGTGCAGGCGCCTGGCTTTCTCCAGCACTTCGAACATGTGCTCCTGGAACACGTCCAGCCTGCGGTAGCGCCCTCGGTCCACGTTGGCCCTGATCACGTCGAAGTTGAGCGGAGGCTTCTCCGGGCTGTTTGGGTCCTGTTGAAGTCAGTTAACATAGTTTATTGGTCGTTCAGAAAAACTCTGAATGACTTTGCTGATATCTTAAAAATCGGTTATTTTTAAGAGCCTAACCAAGGGCCATATGAGCGCTGAATTATGATCATTTTTTCCTTTTAGATCCCAATGATTAAGATTACATGGACAGTGGGGAACCTGCTCCTAGATCAGCACTCCTACTCTGAGACACTATGAATACGGCAGCCCCAGGTAGGGTATGGGCGATCACCTCTCTCTTACCTGGGCAGGGATCTCAGCCAGTGAGTCGCTGTAACACCTCCCCTCCTCGTCCTGGTGCCCCAGCACAGACACAAACAGGTTCCTGATCAGTTCCATGACCAGGGGCCCTACAGCAGGGGGCGAGCCGCCCTCCTCCCCTCCCTCCTGCCGCCGCCGGGTATCCAGGAGCACGCGGTGGAGGAGCAGAGCGTCGCGGTAGATCAGGGACTCTGGCTCGTTGTAGGTACAGGCGTTGTTGAACATCACTGCAAAGTCTTCCACCAGAGCATCCACGTCCTGGTAACGGCCGCCCACCATGTGGCTGGAGAACAAGAAGATAAGATCATTTCATTTTCTATTGAAACAGGGAGAAACAGATGTATTTTGTTGTTTTATCGGATCCCAACCCCAAGTGCCACTGGAGCAGTTTAGGGGATAAGTGCCCTGTTCAAAGGCACAACACCAGGATATAGTATCTAGGATACTGATATCAGCAACCCTCCAGTTGCCGGCTCACTCAACAGAAGCTTTTCCCCGTAGGAGCTGAGATTCAAAAAGGGCAAACTTACAGCTCCTGGCCCACCTCTCTAACCCCCCAGACCGACCCGCAATTGCTAATAACCCACCCTCAACCGCCCCACTATATGTAATAAAGTGAAAATCTGAGGCACATACCCGAGCCTAACCCGCTAATATAGAAAATACACTGTAGGCTACAGTCAGAGACGGCGGAAAGATTTGACAGGAGGTGCAGGAATTTCTTGCCTGATTTAGATATGTTTCTGCTTATAATTTCCAACATTTTGGTAGGCTATTTGTTAGTCAACTTGTCTATAATTAGATACATGCAGCTTCTCTTCTGTCATTATATCATATTTCTCTCAACTCCTGTTCCCAAGTCAAAATTTTGCCTACATTTGGTGTATAGCCTAATTTTACTGCAAGAAATGCTCAATTCTTCAGGAGATAATATTAAGGCTATGTGAGAGGTTATAGACCTACAGTCAATGTCCATATTTCAGTTTCCATTTAACCCATCTGAACAGTAGACTACAGTTCCCTTGACGTACCATAGGCCTATTTGAAGTCCCCTCTTGTGACTGTCAAATTTGTATAGCGCCTCACAATCATCACACATAACATAGCTGGCACTGCTATCATCCTCTTTTACCACTTCACCAAATATTTCCCAAACATTACTTTTCTGGCCCTCCCTTCTCTTTATTTTCAACTCTCCATTTCGCAGCTTTCCTTTTATTGAATTCAACTCCGACATTGTCCTTTTTGCCTCCGTGGATTGACGTTCCCGAAAGCATTTGGCAATTATTACAGTTAGCCTAATGCCAGATAACCTCAAATAATTTAAGAAAAACCTCAATGTAGCCTATAAATATAAATTGCACAAGAGTGATACATTCATGGATGTTTTAAGTTATTGTTTTCTCTTTAATCAACCCACCCTTCATCCACACAATATTATTTCATGACCCTAAACCCGCCCGCCCCGCGGATATAACCGCGGGGACTGTGGGTTATGGGTCAGCCCGCACATCACCACCACACACACACACACAGGTTAGCCTCCAGCTTACCTGCGCAGGCGCTCCATGTCGATGGGCCTCTTGATGGTGGCGTAGTAGTCAGGCAGCTCGGCGCGGGAGGGCAGGCGCAGGAAGATGGTGGAGATACGTCGCCCCCTGGCGTCTGTGTAGTTCCTCACAGCGTCATACAGCTCGTTGAGGCACTGCTGCAGGGGGGTCAGGTACTTATTGGACTTCTTAGGAGACCCGCCACTCTTCCCTACAGAGAAAATTCCATGTAAATGTAATCAAAACAGCAAGATATATATAGCCTATCTTTTCTTCGTATTTTTCACAAGTGCTGTTAAATGCCCATAAAGAAGACTCAAACATACTTAGTTTGAGCTTCGGAGATCCCATGTTGTCAGTGTCCTCCTCGGGAGAAGCTCCTAGCTCCTTCCTTTTGTCCTTCACTATCTTCTCCAGGATGTTAGCATCGTTATAAACCTTCACAGCAAAACAACATCAGAACATGTCACTCAACCCTCCCCTTTGTTGTAAATTTAGCTCAGGGTCGTGGTCATTAGGGAATACAATAGACAACATTCAGTTTCTTATTGGACAAGTTCAGGTAGTCAGTCCCACCCAGTTGTACTTTGTTTTTTGCCTACTAGGGATGTAGCAAATGGGAAAAATTATCTTAACGTTTAAACTGACATTTATGTTTTATTTCTTCAATCGGTTTTCTGTTATAACAATAAGAAAACAACATAAAATGACACATGAATTCACAATGCAGCTGCGCTGCTGCAAGCAATGGTTTGGGTCTCACGGTGCATCCATTTCAGATGTTTAAGCATTACTGTACCTCAATTCCACCTTGCAAAGTTTGCATTTTCTTCTCATTTAACTTCTCAAAGTATTGCCATACAGGACTTTGCTGCTGTCGCTTGCCTTTCTCTGCCATTTTCCCAACTGTTAACGACGATGACAGTGATGGAGAGTCGACTCCAAAATATTGATTCCTCGACTCCTTGCACATCGACTCCCATTTCTAAGTGTCAAGATTAGATTCCGCTAGGAATCGACTCCTAAGATTCAGTATTTTTGGAACGGAGGAGACTGATTAGTTGCCATAACACAAACACTCTCATAGCAAGCTAGCGAGGGACAGAGAGAGAGGGAAGGGGCACTGTATAGGCAGGTCGGCCACCAGGCAGACAGTCAAAACCACTAGGCCTATCTTTATTTTTATTTTTTATTTAACTGGGCAAGTCAGTTAAGAACACATTTTTATTTACAATGACAGCCTACACCGGCCAAACCCGGACGACGCTGGGCCAATTGTGCGCCGCCCTATGGGACTCCCAATCACGGCCGGTTGTGATACAGCCTGGAATCGAACCAGGGAGTCTGTAGTGACGCCTCAAGCACTGAGATGCAGTGCCTTAGACTGCTGCACCACTCGGCAATCAAAAGCTGTATCTTGCAATGCAATATCTCGCAATTTCAGTAAAGCAGCAGGGCCTATCATCAATGGATATAGGATATTGAGATGAGCGAGATCCAACACATCGCTCTCACACAGTATCTGCACGGGTTCGCTTCACACTGTTCACAGCGACATGGCCCTGTGAGTGATTGGCTGTGGTCCCACCTGAGATCCCTCCTCGTTGTAGTGACGTGCATTGCGGAACATCAGCCTCATGTCGTCCATCAGGGCCTCTTCGGTGGCGTAGCGCTTTGAGCGGACGTTGTGCTCGATGGTCTTAAGGTCCATGGGCTCCAGGATCACCTGGTAGTAGGGAGGAGTTAGGTTAATAGATGAGTCAATCCACGGCATCCATATCGATTCCAACATTATAAGAAATCCCGCTATGCCCTCCGACGAACCATCAAACAGGCAAAGAGTCAATGCAGGACTAAGATTGAATCGTACTACACTGGCTCTGACGCTCGTCGGATGTGGCAGGGCTTGAAAACTATTACAGACTACAAAGGGAAGCACAGCCGTGAGCTGCCCAGTGACACAAGCCTACCAGACGAGCTAAACCACTTCTATGCTCGCTTCGAGGCAAGCAACACTGAAGCATGCATGAGAGCACCAGCTGTTCCGGATGACTACGTGATCACGCTCTCCGTAGCCGATGTGAGTAAGACTTTTAAGCAGGTCAACATTCACAAGGCCGCAGGGCCAGACGGATTACCAGGACGTGTACTCCGAGCATGTGCTGACCAACTGGCAAGTGTCTTCACTGACATTTTCAACATGTCCCTGACTGAGTCTGTAATACCAACATGTTTCAAGCAGACCACCATAGTCCCCGTGCCCAAGGACTCTAAGATAACCTGCCTAAATGACTACCGATCCGTAGCACTGACGTCTGTAGCCATGAAGTGCTTTGAAAGGCTGGTCATGGCTCACATCAACAGCATTATCCCAGAAACCCTAGACCCACTCTAATTTGCATACCGCCCCAACAGATCCACAGATGATGCAATCTCTATTGCACTCCACACTGCCCTTTCCCACCTGGACAAGAGGAACACCTACGTGAGAATGCTATCCATTGACTACAGCTCAGCATTCAACACCATAGTGCCCTCTAAGCTCATCACTAAGCTAAGGATCCTGGGACTAAACACCTCCCTCTGCAACTGGATCCTGGACTTCCTGACGGGCCGCCCCCAGGTGGTAAGGGTAGGTAACAACACATCTGCCACACTGATCCTCAACACGGGGGCCCCTCAGGGGTGCGTGCTCAGTCCCCTCCTGTACTCACTGTTCACCCATGACTGCATGGCCAGGCACGACTCCAACACCATCATTAAGTTTGCCGACGACACAACAGTGGTAGGCCTGATCACCGACAACGATGAGACAGCCTATAGGGAGGAGGTCAGAGACCTGGCCGTGTGGTGCCAGGACAACAACCTCTCCCTCAACGTGACCAAGACAAAGGAGATGATTGTGGACTACAGGAAAAAAAAGAGGACTGAGCACGCCCCCATTCTCATCGACAGGGCTGTAGTGGAACAGGTTGAGAGCTTCAAGTTCCTTGGTGTCCACATCACCAACGAACTATCATGGTCCAAACACACCAAGACAGTCGTGAAGAGGGCACGACAAAGCCTATTCCCCCTCAGGAGACTGAAAAGATTTGGCATGGGTCCTCAGATCCTCAAAAAATTATACAGCTGCACCATCGAGAGCATCCTGACTGGTTGCATCACCGCCTGGTATGGCAACTGCTTGGCCTCCGACCGCAAGGCACTACAGAGGGTAGTGCGTACGGCCCAGTACATCACTGGGGCCAAGCTTCCTGCCATCCAGGACCTCTATACCAGGCGGTGTCAGAGGAAGGCCCTCAAATTGTCAAAGACTCCAGCCACCCTAGTCATAGACTGTTCTCTCTGCTACCGCACGGCAAGCGGTACCGGAGTGCCAAGTCTAGGTCCAAAAGACTTCTCAACAGCTTCTACCCCCAAGCCATAAGACTCCTGAACAGCTAATCATGGCTACCCGGACTATTTGCACTGCCCCCCCACCCCATCCTTTTTACGCTGCTGCTACTCTGTTAATTATTTATGCATGGTCACTTTAACTCTACCCACATGTACATATTACCTCAACTAGCCGGTGCCCCCGCACATTGACTCTGCAATGGTACCCCCCTATATATATAGCCTCCCTACTGTTATTTTATTTTACTTCTGCTCTTTTTTTTCTCAACAGTTTTTTTGTTGTTGTTTTATTTTTTTAAATAAATGCACTGTTGGTTAAGGGCTGTAAGTAAGCATTTCACTGTGATGTCTGCACCTGTTGTATTCGGCGCATGTGACCAATACAATTTGATTTGATTTGATTTGAACATTAGGGAATAAAAATAACAATTCTAAGATATTTTCCATTGCTGGACCGAGATATGTGTTTAAAATAAACAAGATTCTGCTTGGATATAAAATGTGTGGCTTTTCTCCACTGCAATAGGATATGTCTAGTACACCGGACTACATTCTGGCAGGGAAAGTAAGATTTGTATGTTTAAAGAAAAACGTTGATTAATTGGCCCTAGCAACCACCAATTAGTGGATTGTGAAAGCCTTGTGTTGACCTCATATCTACCTTGTAGTAGTCTGGGTAGTTCTTCTTGGAGGGCTTGACCATGAACAGATCACAGAGCCTCCGGTTGGTCCCTGCCTCTCTGGCTTCAGTCACTGCAGCATACAGTGCCTTCATACGGTTCTTCACATTCTTCTTATGGCTGCAGGGCAAGAGAGGCCTGGGTCAGTAAAGTGCCTTTTATATATATATATATATATATATATATATATATATATAGAGAGAGAAAATATGTATAAATGCAATATTGGCTAACACAAGTTATGCCAGGATAGCAAATTAATGCATTATAGATTTGATTTAAAAAACATGGCCGCCTGTAGGCCATTTGAGTTGCAAGTGTTGCAGGTCTACTTAACTTGACAAAGGGTAAACTTATAACACAGGAGGCTGCTGAGGGAAGGACAGCTCATAATAATGGCTGGAATGGAGTCAATAGAATGGTATCAAACACATAGAAACCATGTGTTAGATGATTTCGATACCATTCCATTTATTCTGTTCCAGCTATTACTATGAGCCCGTCCTCCCCAATGAAGGTGCCACCAACCTCCTGTGACTTATAAGCATGAGGGCAGCTGTTGTAGAACGACAAAGAAAGTGAGAACGAAAGCGATAGGTGGTTGACTTGGTGTGAGATGACAACAATGGCATCTATGTAGATGTGGTAAGGAAAGAGAACGAGAGAGAGGTGGTCCTACATTTTCCTCTTGGTGGCACTGCCAGTTCCTGTGTCAGAGGACAGAATGCTGTCCTGATCCTCTTCGTCACCTCTCCTCAACAGCTCCCTCTTCTTCAGCTGCAAAACATACATTACATACTGCATTTAACAAGAACAATACTGTACTACTCACCATTCAGTCTTTATATTTTGTATACAGCACAGGAGGTTGGTGGAACCTTAATTGGGGAGGACGGGCTCGATGTAATGGCTGGAGCGGAATGGTATTAAAAACATGGTTACCATGTGTTTGATGCCAATCCATTTGTGCCGTTCCGGACATTATTATGAGCCGTCCTCCCCTCAGCAGCCAGCTCTGTTATACAGAAACCCTAACAGAATTAGCATTTTTATGTCTTGTATTCCTACAGTTGCAGTTCCAACCCACCACCAGAAAGAAATCCTACCAGGGCTCTCCAACATTGTTCCTGGAGTGCTACCGTCCTGTAGGTTTTTGCTCCAACCCTAATCTAGCGCACCTGATTCTAATAATTAGCTGGTTGATAAGCTATGTCATGTTAGTTACAACTGGGATTGGAGTGAAACTCTACAAGAGGGTAGGTCCCCAGGAAAAGTGTTGGAGAGCCCCATCCTAAACCATCAACAGCATAAAGGGCAAACAAGATCCAAGTCCCCCTACTGACCAGCAGGATCTGCTGCAGCCGGAGGGCCCGTTTGGAGATGCCTGAGGTAGGCACGTTGTAACGCTTGGCATTCTCAAACATCAGAGTAAGGTCAGAGTCCATCTGCTCAACGTTTTCGTACTCCCCGTTCTTCATCTTCTCCCTGAGACAGGGACAAACAAGTTCCTCATTCACTGAATCGATGGGTTTTTACGTACATCGGAAATAGCAACAGGAGCTGGACAAAAACAAGATCCATAGTTTTGCTCCTCGCAAAAAAATAAACAATAAAATAAAATTGCATTTGGGAGCAGCAACACTGAGTGGACATTCTCTTTTTCATCATTCACTGACGTTAGCTACACGGACACCAACTCTCCATGTACAGTGCCTATAGGACGATGTACTGTAGTAGCCTATTCCTACCTGATCTGCTGCAGGGCGATGGGCTGTTTGATCTGCTGGTAGTAGTCAGGGTATTCTTTCCTGGAGGGCAGCTGGAGGAAGGGTTCAGAGAGGAGCGGTCCCTGGCTGTTCCTGCCCCCCCTCACAGCCTCGTACAGCTGGAACACTGGGTTACCCATGTCCATACTGGAGCTCAGGCACTCCGCCTCAGACTCACCCTCCTCATAATGCACAGAGCCTGGAACACATGATACACAGAGAAGTGCACACATTTACAAATCACACATACTTAACCATACCGAAACAACATAAAGCTATGAAGAGGGTTTGGTCTCAAAGACTAAACAATGCAAATCTTGTTAGTGTGTGTGTGTGCGTTTGTTGTGTTGACGCAAACTCACCAGAGAGCAGGGCATCCTCGTCATTCTCTGAGCCATACTGCAGAGCCAGGGTGATGGCAGAGAGACGGTCTCCCTGGGCTGACCTCCGGTTCCTGATGCGGACACTGGTCTTAGTGGGCTCAGCATGGTCTATCTCAGTCTTTCTCTGGATGAAGACCTTCTTGATGATGTTAGCATCCTTGACATCAAATAAGGAAGAATTGAGATTAGTGTGCTTTCTATAACATCTACAAGTTGTAGACATGCAGTAAAATCTTGAGTACAACATAGCTCTACTGAAACTAGGCTTTCCGCGCAACTACTCACAAGAACATAAGATAACAATATATCATCTGTCGTATAGGAGGATAAATATACCTTAAAAACCTGAGATCCTGGTTCATTGTATGTTTTTGCATTTTTCACCAGAAGGTCAACATCCTTAGCCATGCCGGTGACACTTTTGTAGTATCCAATCTGACAAATATTCACAAAAGATCATGCGTAGGTTGCAGAGTTAACATTTGAGTCATTTAGCAGACGCTCTTATCCAGAGTATACATTTTCGTACTGGTCCCCCGTGGGAATCGAACCCACAACCCTGGCGCTAAAAGTGCCATGCTCCTCGAACTGAGCTACACAAGACTCATATGATATCTTATGACTACACAAAATAACAAATTATGTCCAGTAGGTCTATATTCATGTGTTTATGTATTAACACGCTTAATCAATTCGATGTCAATCAATACTACACAAATCTCAATGCCTCAGGTGAATAGGATACCTGTATTCTCTCAGTGATGGCTCTAAGATCAAGGGGCTCCTTGATAACGGCATAGTAGTCTGGGTAGTGCACTTTGGAAGGCAGCTTCTGGAAGAGCTCACTGATGACCCTTCCTGAGGGGTCCGTGTATGACACTACAGCATCTAACAGCTGCTCCAAAACCTCCTTCAGGCAACTCAGTGGGGTCTGCAGATCAGCACATACAGGAACAACCACAAGCTATGATCCCACGCACATCCAGTACTTATGGAACCTGAGTTGCAAGTCTACGGAGCTTGTCAACAATGAGTAAACTTGTTGTAGACACAGAAAAGGTGAGAATAAAAGGCATATGTGGTTGACTTGACATGATGTAGTTTGTCCATGATAGATAGACATACACAGCAGGAAGGAACTGGAAGATCTCATGATATATAGAGGTAAATGGATATGTCTGATGATCTTTTATCTTTACCTCGTCTTCAGTGGAGAGAGCAGGATTATCCAGCATGTCTTCACCATCGTCATCATCTTCATCACCATCCCCTGGCTGCACAAACTCATTCCTGGTGTGGACATAGAGTTCCCACAGCCTGCAGGCCTCTTGGTACTCCTCACCATCAGCCTGACAAGTCAGAGATAAAACAGGGTTTCCGTTAGCCGGTAATTGCCGGCTTTTGGCCGGTAAAAAAAACAAAAAGACGATAAATACAAATTGTTGCCGGCAAAACTGACCAGGAGAAAAAACAATGGTAGGCAGGCTATCAGCACATCACCCACCACTTTAGCTGGAGGCAGTATGCATTTTGAAAACATACTTAATTGTTTGAAACCTAAATGTTTTACTTCATATTATGAGGCATGTCTTACCTTGCTTGAAAATCCGACCATAGAAATGTGGAGGCACTTATTTTATCAAGACTTGTTTCAAGTTTGGGGAAGCATACAATTTATCCTACCACTTCTACTGATCTGTGTGCCAGTTATGATTTTCATATGCGCATTTTCGTGGAACAGTTTCATTTCAATAATAATGTTTTTGTTTCTCAAAATCATTGTCACGTGGTTAATCATAAAAATCGTAATTCAAATGATAAAAATTCAACTAATGCGAGAGCACCAGCATCTGCCATATGGACACATTTATACACCGTGATCATTGGCGGCTAAATAGCCTAAATGAGTGCATGGAAGTCAGAGATGGCCAATGCAGCCGGTGGCCTAGAACTTATTGTCAACTAAGTAAAGATACATAAAGCAGACAAATAAAAACAGAAGAAAATATACTGATGAAAACTCAGGTACTTTCAATCCCATTCATCACTCTACTCAGCCTGTCTGCCTCCCTTTCCTATCGGTCTTGACTCAAGCTATTATTGCTAGTGAAGTGCAACATTGTATCAAATCAATCAACTGGATCCAGCCTGAAGCTGTCTCTAGCGAACTTACAACATTGTATCAACTAGCCTATTACGGCTCTCACACAGCCGTTTTTGCGGCCCTCAGACAGCTGTTTTTGCAAAAGGGAAAGGTATTTTATGACTTTTCCACTGGATATATGGGATCATCAGATCATGATATATTGCCCTTTCACACTGAGGCTTGGTGATTATCGAGGGGGAAATTGTTGGAAATATTTTTCAAATAGGCCTACTGTGAGGAACTATTAGGCTATCATTTGTAATGGATGTAAAAAAAAAAAATAACTTCATTGACTTACTGTGTGAGGTGAAGAAAAAAAATGACTGAGAAGCTCAGTTTATTAGTGGTGGATGTGGTGCGTTAAGACAAGCAGAAAACATCCCCAAATGGGCACTTTCCTACATTTGCACGCAGCAGGCCAGGTAGGCTACTTCTATGCGTGCTCAGGCGCGCCCGCTCCCTCAACATTAACAAGACAGAGAAACCAGACCCATGCTCATTGCTCACATGGAGCACTCCAAACAAAAGACAATGAAAAAATTGGCTAAACTTGTAAATTATGCTTATGAAATAACCCAAAACTTGTTTCTCACATGTGTAGCAGGTTGTGAACTCTGCAAACAATGTTTCCACTCCAAGAATGGTAAATTACTGTAGGCCTAATTAGTAAAACAATGAATTTAACAGAAATTAATGTAACCAAATGATGGGCATTAACGGTACATTTACTACTGGTTACATATGTAATGGGGAATTTATCAAAATAAGCAAAGGGCTAACAATTCACACAATGAAACAGCAAAATAATTGGCGGGAGACAGCTGAGTGCATTCTGGAGAGAGACGCACCTATAGGCCATCTTCGCCACTCCACCCCTTCTTCTTGTCGCAACATTTTAAATTATACTCAAGACACACGCTGCCTATGAAAGACTTCCTCATATGCCATTTCTCTCCTGTTCTATTTGTTTTCATATCAACTTTATTTTGTTGTCCAGAAGCCAAATGCATGATCCTAGTCATATTAGCAACCCATCCTAGTTGTTTCATCTTTAGATTCACCCTCTTTCTAAGTTTCTAAGGAGATTTTCATCTCTGTCATATACTGCTGGCATCAGGTGCACTGTTAAGAATGGTGTTTTCCCGCGAATTGCATTTTGGCAAATGTTTGAAAATGATATTTCATTGGTTGCTTCATTACAGGAGTTGCATGTTCTGTTAAGATGAATTTCCATAATGTAAATGTTATTTCTGTCATTCTGAGCACCGTGGGTGGACGCCCTAATGGGTTACGAACCCAATGCATAGGGGTCCGGTATATTTCTCAAGATGGCCAGTAAATGTAAATCTTCCCGGTCACGTTGTCCGGCACCACATTATCCTAACGGAAACCCTGAGATAAAAGCATTACTAACCTGCTGTGTCTAAAGGATGTGTTTCCTACTAGTCAAATACTAACAATGTGTGTTTTCACAAAGTGTAATAGCACAAAGTACAGCACAATCAGGTTTGCAATCGATTTTCATCTTAGACTTAGAGTATTCAATCAACACCTTATAGTAGGTCTTGGCGTTGTTGAACATGAGCTGGAAATCAGCAGTGAGCTGCTCCACATCTTGGTAGTCCTCTGACTTGAGCTTCTGCTGGATCTTGGTCATGTCTATGGGCTTGGACACCACCTCATAGTAGTCTGGCTGTTTCCTGAGGGAGGAAGAGGCGGTGATAAGTCACCTGGGGCCTTTTCCTCTACATTTAGTCTATGGTCATTTGGCACCAAATATTAGAAAATGGGTTGAAACAGGGAGGGACTACATGGACTTGTCCAATGAGAAATGCTAGTTAGGTTTTCTGCTGCAAATGTTTTGCTATGGTCATCGCTAATGAACATGACCAATCTCTTGTTATACATGCTAGCTTACCTTCTCTTTGGTACCCTGATGAACAGCTCACAAAGCAGCCTTCCCTGGTTGTCCTTGTGGTCCCTGACAGTGTTGTACAACTCATGGCACACAGCAATCTGTTGAACACAAAACATAATCCAACAATGTGTGTCAAAGCAGGTTACAGTAGACAATTCCAAGTTTGGGATACTTGGATTCACTGCATCACACAAATAAAACATGGCAAACCTGACCAAGAGTAAAACAAGGATGTTGATAAAGATTACCACAAGCATTATCAGGGGGATAGGTAGGGTGCGTTCGTAAATTCACTCTGGAGTGTCGGAGTGCTGGTGACTGTTTACATGTTACCTGTGCTGCTAGCAACAATTTCATTCAGTTTTTTGCTGACGTTTACTGATGCCTGTCAAATTCAACGGGTGTTGCACGTTCGTACATTTATCAGTTATTCTGCGCTCTGGCGCACTGAAAAAGGGGGGTCTCTGAAATCGGAGTAGATAGCCAAAGTGAATTTACGAACGCACCCTTAGTTGGCTAGTTTGGTCTGATCTCACTATCCATACATCAGAGCAGTGGTGACCCGTCATTCAGGGCAGGTGCAGCCCCACCTGTTTAGCTATATATATATATGTATAACAATTTTGCCTGTTATTTTGGCATTAATACGTGTCACATATCAGTTTGCAAACAGTGTAAAAAAATAATAATAATAATAATAGAGTTAATAAAGTCGCATACAAACATGGTCTTTTTTTTTGCTTTCTTGAGTAGGGCAGCTCCAAAATGCAGGTGTTTCAGCCTAGCTCAGTGCTTTCTGTAGTGGTGGGGCAGCCAGCGGAAAATACGGAGTGTAGGGGTTGGTAATGTTCTCTAGTTGCGCCCTGATTAGCTCAGTGTTCTGTCACTCATGGGGACACTACGTTACCGCAAAATGTACGTGGAGAGCTCGAAAATTCAAGCACCTTGGGTGCTGCCATAGATTTACATTAGAAGTGCGCATCCAAGAAGGCTCAAGGTCACTGGCCACAGATAAAATGACATCAAATCACATTATATCTACTGTAGCTTTGATTGGACTGATCATGTCAACATCATACTTTCAAAATTTTAGCAAGCAAGCTCGACAAGCAGTCATCATCATGAATCAAGTCTACAATCTACTGGCATATGAAGAGAAATTATAGATAAAACGTATCGGTGCTCATCTGCCATTGAACATAAACATTACACAACAAGTTGGAAATCGCAAATTCAGCAATGAGTGGTTTGGAAGGAATCAGTGGCTAACTGCAAGCGTTGCAAAGCAATCACTAGCCTGCTATTCAGTGGAGTGGGTGTGCGGTCCAAGTCTAGATTTGTGGTCCTCTGTAGCTCAATTGGTAGAGCATGGCGCTTGTAACGCCAGGGTAGTGGGTTCGATCCCCGGGACCACCCATACGTAAAAATGTATGCACACATGACTGTAAGTCGCTTTGGATAAAAGCGTCTGCTAAATGGCATATTATTATAGGTTTACCGGTCTCTTTTCCAAGCTTAAAAGGATAAACATTCACATGCAACACCATGGGCCAGAAAAAGTTGAATACATTGGCCAAGCTCTCAATCCAGCATGATTTCTACCACGTTCAAAACAACTGGAAACTCGGAACTGGGCAATCTCAGACTTCAGTGAGTTCAAGATAACTGGGAACTCTGAAAAAAAACGAGCTCCAACTAAGAAAATAAGTTTTGAACGGTCATCCAACTCGGAATTCCAAGTCGGGAACTCGTGCCTCTTTCTAGAGCTCCGACCTGAAGATCACTGACGTCATGAATCATCGTCATGTATTGTATGCTGCTGCATAATGATGTAATATGCCAGGGAGATATGTATACTGTAGCTATGAAAGTAATACTAAGTGTATGTTGTGTAGTAAGCTGTTAGTAGCCCATGTGCCTCACCCTAATAATTTGGTCCCTTCCCCCTCTTAACTTAGCATACTGTTCCAACTTAGTAGTGCACATGTAGCCTATAGCCTGTTTTAGAGAAATGTAATCATTGAATATTGTAAGAGCTTTCATTGTCTGCTTATATGCCCCCTTTATTTATCCTACGGTTCTGACTTGGTGTACAGGGAGAATACTGTAAGAATGGCCCATGTTCTGAATTCTGTCGCTGTACATTTGAAAAGTGCTGAACAAATAGTTATATTGACTACATCCATCCTAGCTCACTCATTAATGTCTTAATCGAAATTACGCATTGCCTCTTATCCGCTCGTCGTTCCATTGTCATAATTTATACATATCAGTTGTCAGTAGAAACCACATTTGTTTAAGCAAGTCAGCCATATCAGCTATGTTTTTTAAAAAGACAGTAAATGAGGCTGAATTAACTGTTACACTGCCAGACATAGCTCCGCTGATAGCCAGGTGTAGCGGTGGTGAAAAGAAAGCTCTGCTGTTGGGACAGCTTTATGTAGGCCATTACAGTTTGTGGGCACCATTTGTCCCCGTTATAGTGCAATGAATATATTGTTTAATGTTGTGTTCTGTAGTGGCTTTGCTGGCATGCATTAAAACATATTGGGAGGAAAGTTTGCCCCACCAAGATTTACACGCTAAAATCGCCACTGCATCAGAGCTAGAAGAGTAAGAAATTCAACTCACAGGGTCTACTGCAGGGAGATTAGAGGGTCTTCTCCTCTTTCGCCCGCTTCCAGGAGTGGAGGAGGAGGCATCGTCAAAGTCACCTCCGCTCACACTACTGGAGGGAGAGATGGCCCTTCTCCTTTTCGAACTCATTGGTAAAACTGATGGTACTTTCAAAACAACAACACACAAACACAGTTAGCTTGCTGGCTAGGTAACTATCCAACATATAATATTATAAACACTGACTAGCCCTGTAACGTTACAGAATGAAGTCTTTTTTATTATAATTACTTTATTTAACCTGTATTTAACTAGGCAAGTCAATTAAGAACAAATGTGTATTTAAAATGACGGCCTACCAAGAGACAGAGTCCTGCGGGGACCGGGGCTAGGATAAAAAATAAAATGTACTGTAGTAGGGCAAAACACACATCACGACAAGAGACACCACAACACTAGCTACATAAAGAGAGACCTAAGACAACACAGCATGCCAGCAAAACAACATGACAACAACACGGTTGCTACACAAACATTGTGAGAGACTAACTCTGAAAATCATGTAAACACGTCCGTGTTAACTTTAGCTGTCTACCGGTAACGTTAGCTAGGTAGCCGCTAGTTATCAAACATGGGATACTGGGATCTTCGACGTAGAATCTTAGCTAGTTTATCTCGCTACCTATCTAGCTAACCATTCATCTGCTGGTAACAACTAGAGTTAGCAGTAACGTTGTTAGCTAGATGACTAAGTACCAACAAAGGCGAGCGCCTAACATTTAAATGTTCGCTACACGGTCAAAAAGCGCAAATCGATTGCTAGTTGTAGCGTTACTTTGATAAACTAATTTAAAGCAAAATGCAAACCCGGTTTACCTCAATTTTAGTATATTTCCCTGAGCAAAATTGTTTTGTTAAAAAAAGTATATTCATTCGAAACGTTAGCTAGTCAAGCTCCTCCCCCGTAACTGTAAATTGCCGGATGTGACCCTATAAAGCTGCGAATCATTTGGAAAAAGTGGAGGCGACATTGGATTTACAAATAAAAATATCCGTAGGAGTGTCGCTGTTGTGGTGGCGAAGCGTTTCTGTCTGACGGTGGGTGGTGGTGCTTGGGAAACATGGCGGAAGTGGATAATGAAGTTCGAATCAAGCAGCTCGTCGAGCAAAGTTGGTGAAGACGAATGTTCTGAATGGACGACATTAGTATCGAAAATGGAGCAAAAAAGAAACCACTAAAATTGCAGTGGAGGATACGTGTATGAATGATAATGAATCGCTTATTGTTGAGATGCGTTTGTTGAGTAAGGATGCATATGTGGGAGACGTTTGAGGTGTCGAAAATGGTGAAGTATGCCAGGGAAAAGTGGGGTATGTCAGAGTGACCAGGAGTGGTCTTATTTGGATTAATTGTATTTATGAAGAACAGAGGAAGATTGCAGTGAGCCTCCGAAGAATCCGGACAACAGAAGCTTTGTGTTTTGAACTTCGGAGTAGAGCACCCCTCAAAGGAGTCATCTCAGGGGTGAAGACGGATATTCAGGTTGAATCCCTGAAGATAATTCCTGGTGTGGTTGGTGCCCGGCATCTGACCCGCTGGGTTAATGGAGATAAATAATAAAGTCTGTCGGTCCTGTTGTTTTTTGATAAAGAACAAATACCTATGCAGCAAAAAAAGAAATGTCCTCTCACTGTCAACTGTGTTTATTTTCAGCAAACTTAACGTGTAAATATTTGTATGAAAATAACAAGATTCAACAACTGAGACATAAACTGAACAAGTTCCACAGACATGTGACTAACATAAATTGAATAATGTGTCCCTGAACAAAGGGGGGGTCAAAATCAAAAGTAACAGTCAGTATCTGGTGTGGCCACCAGCTGCACTAAGTAATGCAGTGCATCTCCTCATGGACTGCACCAGATTTGCCAGTTCTTGCTGTGAGATGTTACTCCACTCTTCCACCAAGGCACCTGCAAGTTCCCGGACATTTCTGGGGGGGAATGGCCCTAGCCCTCACCCTCCGATCCAACAGGTCCAAGACGTGCTCAATGGGATTGAGATACGGGCTCTTCGCTGGCCTGACATTCCTGTCTTGGAGGAAATCACGCACAGAATGAGCAGTATGGCTGGTGGCATTGTCATGCTGGAGGGTCAGGATGAGCCTGCAGGAAAGGTACCACATGAGGGAGGAGGATGTCTTCCTTGTAACGCACAGCATTGAGATTGCCTGCAATGACAACAAGCTCAGTCCGATGATGCTGTGACACAACGCCCCAGACTATGACGGACCCTCCACCTCCAAATCGATCCTGCTCCAGAGTACAGGCCTTGGTGTAACGCTCATTCCTTCGACGATAAACGCGAATCCGACCATCACCCCTGGTGAGACAAAACCGCGACTCATCAGTGAAGAGCACTTTTTGCCAGTCCTGTCTGGTCCAGCGACGGTGTGTTTGTGCCCATATTGCTGGTGATGTCTGGTAAGAACCTGCCTTACAACAGCCCTACAAGCCCTCAGTCCAGCCTCTCTCAGCCTATTGCGGACAGTCTGTGCACTGATGGAGGGATTGTGCGTTCCTGGTGTAACTCTGGCAGTTGTTGTTGCCATCCTGTGATGTTCGGATGTACCGATCCTGTGCAGGTGTTGTTACACGTGGTCTGCCACTGCGAGGATGATCAGCTGTCCGTCCTGTCTCCCTGTAGCGCGGTCTTAGGCGTCACACAGTACAGAGATTGCAATTTATTGCCCTGGCCACATCTGCAGTCCTCATGCCTCCTTGCAGCATGCCTAAGGCATGTTCACGCCGATGAGCAGGGACTCTGGGCATCTTTCTTTTGGTGTTTTTCAGAGTCAGTAGAAAGGCTTCTTTAGTGTCCTAAGTTTTCATAACTGTGACCTTAATTGCCTACCGTCTGTAAGCTGTTAGTGTCTTAACGACCGTTCCACAGGTGCATGTTCATTAATTGTTTATGGTTCATTGAACAAGCATGGGAAACAGTGTTTAAACCCTTTACAATGAAGATCTGTGAAATTATTTGGATTTTTACAAATTATCTTTGAAAGACAGGGTCCTGAAAAAGGGACGTTTCTTTTTTTGCAGAGTTGATTTTTTGTTTTATTTTTGTATATATATATATATTTTTTTTTTTAAAGTTATTTAGCAGACGCTCTTATCCAGAGCGACTTACAGTTAGTGAGTGCATACATTTTCATACTGACCCCCCGTGGGAATCAAACCCACAACCCTGGCATTGCAAGCGTCATGCTCTACCAACTGAGCTACACGGGACTGCTTTATAAGATACGCTGTAAGAGTTTTCGTCCCCAAACCATTGCAGTGTAAGTATTGTGATGGATTTGGCCACGTTTCAAGTGTGTGCAGACGGACAGAGTATATTGAAGAACAGTGTGTAGCAATTGTGGTGGGAATCATGATCCCGAGTTCCTGGAGTGCCCTGTAAGGGTGAAGGAGATTGAGGTGGCAAAATGTAGAGCGGTCAATCGAATCGTCTATGGTGAGGCGATGAAAATAATTGAGAAAACAAGTGATGCTAGTGAAGATCTGGTAGTGGACACACCACAGCCTGTAGTAAATGTTTGCTGCCAGTCAAAAGACACTGTGTGTTAAAATTGTGGATTTTGTGGCGTTCATTGCCACAGTTATAAACTGTATGGCACAAGTCTCAAAGAAATCGAAGAAACTGGACATTATTGTGGCTGCGGCAGAAAGGTTTTTGTGACTTAAAGATTTTACATCTGAAGACTTGCAAGGGGTACTGGCGCCAGAAGACCTGCCCTCCTAGGTTCCCCTTGAGCCTGTGAAGGGATCAGATCTGTTTGGGGTTTTTTTTAACAGAAAAGTTGTTTAATTTTATTTGTTTGGTAGTTTTTTTGATATTTTGTTCCATTTTAGGGAATCCTATTTTAGGGAATGCACATTAAATTGTGTTATCGCGAAGAAGAAGAAGAAGAAGAAGAAGAAGAAGAAGAAGAAGAAGAAGAAGAAGAAGAAGAAGAAGAAGAAGAAGCAGCAGCAGCAGCTGCTAGCAAAGATTACTCTAGGGCTAGGGACAATTCCGAACCGAGGTACCAAACCTAAACCCTGACCCTTTTCCTAACCCTAATCACCTGAATGGGTTACATTTGATTTGATGGAATATATAAACTACTCCTCCATAACCCATATGACCAATCCGAGGCATTGAGTAATTTGACTGAGTAAAGTTTAGAATGTGACTATCTGGTAACATAAATTGATATCTGGAGGGTAATTACATGTTTAAAAATGCTTCTGAAGTTTGTAATTTCCACTCTGAAATTTCAGACTTGATTTTCCCTTACGAAAAATGAATCAACTCCTAGAAAAATGTCCATTAATTATAATACACATAATACACTGAACAAAAATATAAACGCAACATGTAAAGTGTTGGTTTCATGAGATGAAATAAAAGATCCCAGAAATGTTCCCTACGCACAAAAAGCTTATTTATCTCATTTTGTCCACGCATTTGTTTACATCCCTGTTAGTGAGCCTTTCTCCTTTGCAAAGATAATCCATCCACCTGACAGGTGTGGCATATCAAGAAGCTGATTAAACAGCATGATCATCACACAAGTGCACCTTGTGATGACTGCAGGAATGTCCACCAGAGCTGTTGCCAGAGAATTGAATGCTCATTTCTCTACCATAAGCGTCGTTTTAGAGAATTTGGCAGTATGCCCAACCGGCTTCACAACCACAGACCACGTGTAACCACGCCAACCCAGGATCTCCACATCCGGCTTCTTCACCGGTGGGATCGTCTGAGACTAGCCACCCGGTCAGCTGATGAAACTATGGTTTGCACAACCGAAAAATTTCTGCACAGACTGTCAGACACCGTCTCAGGGAAGCTCATCTGCATGCTCGTGGTCTTCACCAGGGTCGTAACCGACTTCAGTTGGCAAATGCTCACCTTTGATGGACACTGGCACGCTGGAGAAGTGTGCTCTTTACGGATGAATCCCGGTTTCAACTGTACCGGGCAGATGGCGTGTATGGCATCGTGTGGGCGAGCGGTTTGCTGATGTCAACGGTGTGAACAGAGTGCCCCGTGGTGGTGGTGGGGTTATGGTATGGGCAGGCATAAGCTACGGACAACAAACACAATTGTATTTTATCTATGG